CTTGCCCGCCTCGGGCCCAGCGCCCGGGGAAGCGCCTCGGAGCTCGGGCGCCGCGGGCTGCCGGCCGCGGCGGGAGGCAGGGGTTGCGGCCCGGACCAGGCGCCGCCGCTCCCGTCGCCGCTGCGTCTCCTCTGCGCCCGCCGCGTCGCCGCGCGCCCTCCCCGCGGCGGCTACCCGCGCTCCCCGGCCAACCTTCCCGGGCGCGAGCCGCCAGAGGCGAGCCCCGCCTCCTCGCGCCTCCAGCCTGCTGGCCAATGGGGAGCCAGACCCGGGCCGGGCGGGAGGGGATGGGCGGGCCCTGCGCCGGGAACGCCCCCTCGTCCGCCCCACCGGGGCGGGGCGAGGCGAGCGGGCGAGGCGACGGGCCGGGGAGGCGGGCAGGAGGCGGGCGGCGGCTCCGGCCAGTCCCCTCGCCTGTTGGGACGCACCGCCCGGGACGGCCACCGCAGGCCCTTCGCTGCCCCTGGCGGAAAAGGGAGGAGCCAAGTGGGTCCCCCTGAGGAGGACGCAGTGTGCTCTTCCGCCGCCCGACCCCGCTGAGGGTGCGCGGACCCTCCGCGCTCAAGTTCCCTTCCGCAGTAGGCGCCCTGCGCCGGGCGCCGGGGTGTTGTCCGCCCCGGTGGTTCTGAATCAGGCGCTGCGGAAACGGTCCAGGTAGGCGGAGGGTCACAATTCTCCGGCTGCTTCTGCGCTGCTGCTGCCCGTGGGTCACGGCGGGCTGCGCCGCTTACTCCTATAAATACAAGGGCTGTCGGCTTCCGGGAACCTTGCTGCGATTAGGAGCCGGCCTCACCGGTCCATTTCTGGGGTCAGTCTCCCTTCGTACCCCTGTAATTTGAGGGTGGCGGCATCTGCAGTTAGGTAGATAGTCTTTCGTCATCGTCTTTGACGTTTGACATCTTTTAAATTCAACATATTCACTACCACCAAAATATTGATTACTCTAACACCGCTATTTCAGTATCTCCTTCCCTCAGACATTTGACACACTCGTCTGTTAAAATATAGCACAATCACTCGGGCTTCAGGGCTCTGATAAATAGAACAGAAAGGTTCCAACTGCCCCTCTTCCATGGACAGGAGTGTGTGGCGGTCATCCTGTTGATGGTGGTACATAGGATACGTCTGTCTTGTCTTCTTGCGCCCCCTCTCCCTCCCACAAATAGTGCAATAAGTCACATTGATGTTAATTGGGTCATAAAGTCACTATCACTCTGAAATAAATCCACAGCAATGTGAGGGCTTACAAATCCTACCGGGTATTAGCTAAATAATTACACAAAATGGAAAGGCATGTTGCTATGTCTAAGCAGGCATAAAGGATAAAGATGTGGGGACCATTCTGCCATCAAGTGAGGTCAGTTCTGTCAGGCAGGCAATTTCTGTTCCTGACCTCTCTTCCCAGCCCCCATGTTTCCTCCTCCCAAGCCAGAGCCCCTGTACAGGCAGAACTTCATGAAAATCACTGAAAGACAACATATAAGAAGGAAGGGATTCGCATAACATGTCTTGCTTTATGGATTGACTGACAAATGAGAAGTGTTTGCAAAGCATTTCAACTCCCTTGGAAGATTTATGCCACAGAAGAGAACTGATTTCCAACATATCTATATACTGTGCCAACCAGCCAAAGAGTTTGAAGAGGGTATGTACAGGTCCTCAGGCTTACCACAAAGGGTCATGTGAAGCATAGGCCGAAGATGCAAGGAGCAAAATAAGACTCCATACCTCGAGTACAAATCCTGCAATTAGAAATTGTGTAAGACTCCTGTGAGATTTCATGTTATCTATTAAAAATAATTGAATAGGATCCAGAGGGGTGGATTCTGTGGGAAAGAATTCCTCCTTCTCTTCTTCAGGTAGCCAATGAAAGAGTCAGCAGCTAAGGCAAGTTTGTGTTTTGAAAACAATGCATTGCTTTGCTACCCCTAGGAAGCACAGAACAGAGCAGTGAGAGTCACTGGATGGACACAGCCTTCCACTGTCCTTAATTTGCATTTGTATGGTACTAATCCCAAGGAAATGCTGGGCCTTTGTGCATTCCTGACCTCAAAGTGCTTGTAGCTCACACAGCATGTAACAATGGGAAGAGGTTTATTTGGTCACAAAAGACCAAATTTCCAAATCAGATTGTTACCTCAAAGCTTGTCAAATAAAAATTAGATGACTATTCCTGTTTAGAATCAATGTTTAGCATGTTACTTTGTTTAACCCAATAAAGTAAGAACCTAGAAAAGTAAAAATATTCCAACCTTTAAAGACAGTGGCTGCTTCTCATTGTGGAGGGAAGAGAGGAAAGGAAGGAAACAATTGGAAAACAAAAGGCAAAAAAACTTTCCCATCTGCCTGGCAACTTCCTACTTGATGCTACCATGATGATTCTACATCATTAACTTTTATAAGTAACATATTTGTGAGGATAATTACAGAACCAATGTGACACTAAGATCTTTTAATTTTGAGTCATTTGAAAACATCTTCCAAATAATATAACTTTGTAATATAATTAAGTAATTTTAGGTTAATATTGAGCTTTTGGTTTATAGTCTTCTTAAAGAGCTCCAGGTAGCAAAAGCAGTTCATTTGTGTAGGAGATTCCTTACGTTTTGTTAAACCAGGGGTTCGTACTTTTATGTACCTGGGGCTAGTAGCTGTATTTCATTGAGTCTAGGCCTCCTTCCATGGTATAGTACGCTTTTGTTGTATGTATCGCCACGAAAGAAAAAATGCTACCATTTAAACTATGATACAGTGTTTTCTTTTCCCTAATAATTTAAATTTAAACATATCAAAAACACCTCTTTGATAATTATTTATCGTATCAAATCTAAATACAGATTTTTATCATGTAGCACCCTAATGAGCACATAAAAATATATTAAAATAATTGGTTATCATTTTCCTAAAACTTCATCTCACTAGTCTTATATACTTTCTCACTGAGAGTTTTCAATGCCCAGGTTTTCCCCACGGGTATGTTCCTCTGAGCTACCCAGAGTCTCTGTCACACCACACTTCTTATAGAAGTGCCCTGAGGTCATCCAAGTTGCTGCCCTCTGTTCTGCATGGCTTGATGCTGGTATTTGTTTGTTTGTCTTATCCAAGGTTTTCATACAATAACCAGCTTTATTTTCCTTCTTTAATTGGTCATCGAAAGGTGCTAAAGTACCGAGGGGAATAGACAGCCAGGCATGCCCTGGAATCGTAACCTTGCTGGCACAGGCTCAGGCTACGTAGGAATTCCCACTTGCCCACCACCAACTACAAGATGATTCCTGATGTTTGAGATGTGAAATGTGAGAGAGAGAGAGAGAGAAAAAGGTGGGTATCTTAGAATAATAAAATATGGTGTATATTTCTTCCTGTCGGTACTTTTACAATTTTTATTTTGCAAATGGCCAAGCTGCTGCAGAGAATGGAAACGCACCAGAGACTGGCCTGGCCAGCGCCAGACTTCACAGGCCAAGTCAGGCTTGGGAAGTCTGTGTGTTGCTGGGTCACCGTGGGCAGAGAAGGCAGAGATGGAGTTGGGGCAGCTGCTGCCTCTCCCCATCATCACCCAAAAGGAGGGGGCTAGAGCTGCAAAGGAGCTCCTGGAACCGACAGGAAGG